GTCTTTTTTTTTTTTTTTTTTTAAGTAATGGAAGATATAGCAGGAAAACTTAGAACTTCATACAGAAGCTGCTATAGACAAGGATAACTTACCTTTAAGAAGTTAGCATCTATATTGCTAGCAATTGCTCTGGCTAGTAATGTCTTCCCTGTTCCAGGAGGTCCATACAGAAGAACACCCTGGAACAATTGAAAAACAATAAGAAAAGGAAAGTTCCATGTGAAAATTCTACATTTCTAGGTTTCTAAGGTAAGCATATCTTCGACCAAAAAAGGTAAGCATATCAGGTTGTAGAAAATATCGAACATGAGAAACTATACATAAATTACCTTGGGAGGTTTGATCCCCACTCTGAGGAAGAGCTCAGGATTCATTAAAGGCAGTTCAATAGATTCCCTGAGCTCTCGGATCTGATCTGATAGTCCTCCCACAGCGGAGTAGCTAACATTACCAGGGTCTTCATGAAGCATATTATATACAACTGGGTCAACCTGCCAACCAAAATATGAAAGAATGCTCATGAGTAGACGAATAAAATGCGAAACTTAATAATTAAGAATCAGATGATCATTACTTCTCTGGGAAGAGCTCGCATGATAGTCAAAGTAGTCATATCCAAAACAACCCGAGTGCCAGCGGTTAGTTTTTCCTTGTCAACTTTACTGCGACAGCCAACTACATACCTCGGGCCACTACTTGCCTTCACTATCACTGAGGCAATAAAAAAAAAGATTATTATTTTGGCAGGCAGTTCTCAAACACAGAGAAGCCCTAACAAAACTATGCTCGCTGAAAATTAACAATCTTGTTAAGATGGTTTCGAACAATTAAGTTTTACACCAAGAAACAAGTATGAACCAAAGTAAATAGTGTGGTACAGAAAAGAATTTACTTACAGCGTTCATTATCGAGAGGCCTGAGAACTTCGCCTATAATTTGCCCAACACTTTGAAGGGACTTCAAATCATCTTCACTCGCTGAAAATTAACAATCTTGTTAAGATGGTTTCGAACAATTAAGTTTTACACCGAGAAACAAGTATGAACCAAAGTAAATAGTGTGGTACAGAAAAGAATTTACTTACAGCGTTCATTATCGAGAGGCCTGAGAACTTCGCCTATAATTTGCCCAACACTTTGAAGGGACTTCAAATCATCTTCAGTTTTCCCAAATTCTTTCTTTGCGGCCCGCAAGTTATCTCTCACTGCACACCATCCCATTGCAAAAACAAAAAGAAGAAGAAAAAAAAATCAATTGCAACCCAACTCTTGAAACTAACTAAATTTCTCAATTTATTGCAGCAAACACCATATGCATAACACAACAGAAAGCCCCCAAAACCACATCAAACAAAAACAGAATTGAATCGCTCAATTTGAAAATCAAAATCGAAACCCTAGCAAAGCGAACGAAACTAAAGCATACTAATTTGGGCAATCCTTGTGCTAGTTGCAAAAGAGGGATTAGGGTTTGGGAGTGAATCTGACCTGCGCGCACTCGGGAGTCGAGCTCCTTGTGCTGGAGTAGCCGTTTGCGGTAGTCGGCAACCGCCGTGCGACGTCGTACTGCGTCCTCTGCCTCGGTCGTCATCACAGCGGTAGGAGGAGAAGGAGGAGAAGTGAGCAGAAACGAGAGAGTGGGGTTTCGTAATGAGAGATGGAAGAAGAAATCTAAGCTGGGCAAAGCTATTTGTATTTGTACTTGTACTTGTATTGTCAGGCAAGCAAGCTACTCATTTTTTCCCTTTTCTTTTTGGAACACGATTAAAACTAAAACTAAAAATTTAATAGATGGGTATATCTAAGTATTATTGTTGTTCGCATATTACTCTTTGGCTCTAGATCTAAATTGAAAATTTTTACTATTTTACTAAACACATTTTCTCTATAATATTCAGAAATATTATTTTAAAAATTAGATTTGTTTATTTAAAAACTTAACAATAAAGAACATCAACGATACCCGACATATGGCAATGGGTCGAACTGGGGGTGGGTATGTCATTCCCATTCTCATCCCTGTTAAGCTTTTTTCCCCATCCCTGCCTTCATACCCACAATATTCATATCAGGGATTCTCCATCCTCACCTTCGTTGGGGAATGGATTCCCCTCCCCAATCCGCCCCATTACGGAAGAAAAAACCAATATATAACTACTTTGTTGAAAAAAATAAAAAAAATAACTAAGGCAAGATAATGAATATATATAATATATACTTATAAGACAATGTAAGAATGTTTATATATGTACTTGAAGTTAACTAAATAAATAAGTTGTGTGGCTTAAGATTTGTATAAATTATATAAGTATATAATATAATAATATAAAATATAAAACTTAGTCAGTACAATCACTTTAATAGCATATTTATATATACTATAATATATATATACCTCATCAAAAAATTATGGGGAGGGTTCGGGTTGGGGATTAAAATACCATCCTCGCCCCTTCCCGAACACTATACCAACAAAAAATTCTTCGTACCCATCCCCATACCCCTTTTTGGTCCTTCATACATAACCCATTAGGGTCGAATCCCCACGAAGACCCTTACCCACAGGGAAAATTGTCATTCGGCAACCTCTCACATGGCCACATAGTGTTACAAATTCAACATATATTTATTTAGCGTATCATATACCAGATCATGACATATCAATTCCATCGTTCATCCTATCATATAGAAATGAGCACAATGTGAATTAGTTTAATTTTCCTCCATAAATCATACGGATGAAAAATGTATAAGGCAGTCAACATGGTTTTGATTTGGACTTCAAACCAATAGCCTAAACAAGCTAAACCAAATTATTTAGTGATTGGTTTGATTTGGGAGTTGCTCTAATAAAAGAAGAGGCTCTAGCACCATATTTAGACAACCATTAGCAAATAATATATAAAGTTTGAATGATATTGAGGAGAAAGACACAAAACTGCCCATTTGTATTTTGTTAACTTATAATAAAATTTGATTTGGTATTTAATTAGACACTAAATTGGAAACACATCATGAAATGCAGAGGAAACAATTTAATCAAATTTGTTAGCAGAGAGAGATTAAAGAGGGTAGGGTTGTGTGGGAAACATATGCATGGTATATTTAAGCCACAAACCTGCTGGGACTTGGAAGATTAAGAACCAGATTAATGAAAGATTACACATTTAATTATCACACACACATCAAAACCCTATTTTTTAGATGCTAATTAACACACAGAGAGAGAGAGAGAGGTTGAAATATTGTTTGACGAATTCAAAGTTAGTGCAGCCGTTAATTCAAAGTAATTGTGAGTCCAACCGCTAGTTCTTTTCAAATCCTAAAAAAAGAAACCAAAACAAACAAAAACTTCCAAAGCAAAAAATCTTTCTCCACAAACATTGCCTCATTCTTGGGAATTCACAGCCTATCTAGGTTGTCGTCTCCTTCCCTCCACTTATAACCAAGGAAAAGAGTAACGAACCATTTGAAAAAAAAGAAAAAAAAAGTACCAATTAGAGTTAGTTTCAGGCCCCTTCTTCAACTACATTTGCCAACCCTTTTCTGCTCTCAAACCTCCTCACCCAGGAGGGATGGAGATAGAAAAAAAACGAACAAAATTGAACCGCAATCTTTTTCTATCCTCCTTGCCATCACCATTTTCGATACCGATGGCTCTCCTCCTGGTCCTTCTCTTTACCCTCCTTGTCTCCCCTTCCTTGGTCCTCTCCGCCTCCACGCCTCCCTTTACTCCCCAGGACAACTTCCTCATCGACTGCGGTGCCACGAACAAGGCCACCCTACCTGATGGCAGAGCCTTCAAAACCGAAGCAGAATCGGGAGAACTATTGAAAGCAGAGGATGACAATAAAGTCTCTGTTGACAAAGCAGATGTGCCTTCACCTCTGTATTTGTCTGCAAGGATTTTCAAGGGCGATGCCACTTATTCTTTCCACATGGCTAGGCCTGGCTGGCATTGGGTTCGCCTCCATTTCTACCCGGTGACCAACACGGTGTTCGATCTGCAGAAGGCCACCTTCAATGTCTTGACGGATAAGTACACTTTATTGCACAGCTTCAATATCAATCAGAACAAGAACAACAACACCAATAACCAAGTTTTTCTCAAGGAGTACCTCTTGAACATAACCAATCAGCAATTCTCCATCAAGTTCTCTCCAATGAAGAACTCTGCGGCGTTCATCAATGCGATAGAGGTGGTTTCAGCTCCTGATAATCTGATCACAGACACGGCTAACAACCTTCAGCCAACCACCCAGTTTCAGGGGATGTCCAAATTCGGGTATGAAACAATGTACAGGGTTAACATGGGAGGTCCTCTTATTACGTCGGCAAACGACACATTGGGAAGGTCATGGTTGCCTGATGATGCCTACATTAAGTCCAAAAACATGGCCAAGGAGGTGTCGGTTGGGACTTCTACGGTCAAGTACCCCGATGGAGTAACCCCGCAAATCGCACCACCAACTGTGTATGCAACCGCTGTGCAGATGGCTGATGCTGTTGTTAGCGGTCAGAACTTCAACATAACATGGAATTTCCAGGCCACAAATGCTTTTGGGTACCTAATTCGGTTGCATTTCTGTGACATTGTGAGCAAGTCACTTGGCAACCTCTACTTCAATGTGTACATTAATGGGAACATGGCAATAAGTGATTTGGATTTGTCACACACAGTCAACGGTTTGGCAATTCCATACTACAAGGACATTGTGGTGAATTCTTCCTTGATATCTGATGGACTATCTGTCCAGATTGGTCCATCCAGAATGGACAATAGCGCTCCTAACGCCATTTTGAACGGTCTTGAGGTTATGAAGATAAGCAATTCTGTGGACAGTTTGGATGGCGAATTCGGGGTTGATGGAAAGAAAGAGGAATCAGGTAGCAGCGGGGTTCACAGAGGAGCAGTGGCTGCAGTCGGGTTTGGTTTGATGTTCGGAGCCTTCGTGGGGCTTGGAGCAATGGTTTACAAATGGCGAAAGAGGCCTCAAGATTGGCAAAAGAGGAACAGCTTCTCTTCTTGGCTACTCCCTGTCCATGCCGGAGACAATAGCTTCATGTCAAGCAAGAACTCAATGGGGTCTCACAAGAGCAACATGTACAACTCGGCATTAGGCCTTGGCCGGTACTTTACTTTCCAGGAGTTGCAGGAAGCTACCAACAACTTCGATTCGAGTAAGATCATCGGTGTTGGTGGATTTGGCAATGTGTATATTGGTGTGATTGATGACGAGACTACTGTGGCGGTCAAGCGAGGAAATCCTCAATCGGAACAAGGCATTACAGAGTTCCAGACAGAGATCCAGATGTTGTCCAAGTTAAGGCACAGGCATTTGGTGTCACTGATTGGCTACTGTGATGAAAACTCGGAGATGATCTTGGTTTACGAGTACATGTCCAATGGACCTTTCCGTGACCATCTGTATGGCAAGAACTTGGCACCATTGACATGGAAGCAAAGACTAGATATCTGCATTGGAGCGGCTCGCGGGCTGCACTACCTTCACACAGGGACAGCACAAGGCATCATCCACCGCGACGTCAAGACCACCAACATACTGCTTGATGATCAATTCACTGCCAAGGTAGCTGATTTTGGTCTGTCAAAAGATGCGACAATGGGGCAGAACCACGTCAGCACTGCGGTGAAGGGAAGCTTTGGGTACTTAGACCCTGAGTACTTCAGGAGGCAGCAATTGACAGACAAGTCTGATGTGTACTCATTTGGGGTTGTTCTGCTTGAGGCACTTTGCGCTAGGCCTGCTATCAACCCTGCACTTCCTAGAGAGCAAGTAAACTTGGCTGACTGGGGAATGCAGTGGAAGAGGAAGGACCTACTCGAGAAGATCATCGATCCTCTTCTCGCAGACTCCATCAACCCCGAATCCATGAAAAAGTTTGCTGAGGCTGCTGAGAAGTGCTTGGCAGAACATGGTGTGGACAGGCCTACAATGGGAGATGTGCTGTGGAACTTAGAGTATGCTCTGCAGCTTCAAGAGGCATTCACTCAAGGAAAGGCTGATGACGATAGTACCAACAGCGTCATGCCGCCTTCAACTGAGGCAGCCGCCTCCCCTGCTCCTGCTGCTGCTGCTGCTATTGTGCCTCCTGCTGCTGCTCTTACTACTGCCTCCAACTCTGCTAACCGCCCGGCTCCCATCCCGGAAGGCGATGAGGATTCAGCTGAAGCTCACACCATCAATGACCAATCTGGAACGGATATATTTGCTCAATTTTCAAATCTCAATGGTAGGTAAAGTTTGAAAATTTGGTTCACCAATTGAAAGATATATATGGTCTAGAAAAAAAAACAAAATTGTAATTTGTGAGGGGGTTATGGTTTCATGTTCACAAACAAAACTCTTTTTAAAATTTATACAATATGATGCACTGGTTTGAGGGATTTATACAATTGTAGTAGTACCAATAATCCTATACATATTTCAGTGTAATATATTTTGTAATTTATCTTTATTTGTTAGCATAGCTCCAAAGTTAGACTTTGAATATCTATTATGCATAGTCACATATATGTGATTTACAAGTGACTTTTGCTGCAATCACAGGCGGCAAATTAAAATTGTAGATTTTAATCCAAGAAATAAAACCTGATGCTGTAAACTTTGAACCACTACACCACATGACCTACATTCATTCCTTTATCAAACAATTGGCCAACCCTAGATGATTCAGGTGTTCAATTAAGCCTCTCTTCAAAAATAGAGCAGCTATACTTACCACGGATTTAATTGT